TTCTTTAAAAAAAACCACAATATTTCAACTGCCCTCACAGTGTGCGATATTAGTGACATTTCTCCTGTAGACATTCTCAAACCATAACCGCAGTCCTCTTCTGCCACTATCACCACCTTTAAAATCTCTTTTAGACTTTGTTGTTACGCACCAACTGCCTGTCCTGGCACATAAAAGGATAGCAATCTATAGGTTTTGGAGACATGGATTTACCAAAATATTTTGTTGTACGTGTATTTCATGCTTCTGTTGCATGTAGCCACTGATTCAACTTTTTTTAAAAAAATTAACCAATATGGTGCAGAAATAATTTAACAATATATCAGTAGAGAACAAAACTTGTTTACATTATGAACAAGTTCAATCATTTCATTTAAATTACAGTTTTCAGAGATAGGGTTTTCCCAAATTTTTGGTTGCATATTCATGCTTTCATTGCGTACAACTGTTGATTCCAAGTCCTTTCTAAAAATAATCAGCAATCATAGTGCTGAAATTGTTTATTAATATATCCATATACCGTCAACTGAAGTAGCACTAGGATTGTTACAGATTCTTTTTTTTTAAAGAGGCACCACTGTTATTTTAGGGGTATTGAAAACCAGTGGTGGTGGGGACGGAGGGACAAAACTGTTCACTCTCAGAGCAGACTTCATTATGTACACCTTCATTTATATTCTTAGGACATACACAGAAGGCCTTAGCCTGTACTGATTCTTTTTAAGGACTGAACTGTTATTCCTAGGAGAAAGGACAAGAAAGAGACAGGGAGGGGGCTTCCAATGCTCCATTTGCTAGAGGGAGAGAAGGGCTTGGCTCCTTTCTGTACCACCTGCAATGGCTCTCCTAGCTAATGTACCTCATGTTCCACCCTGTATCTTTTTCTCATCAATTTGCTTTTAAGAAAGCACCTAGCCTTATATTAGATACCATATACACACCTGCACAAAAAACTTACTTTAAAGTTCATATTTTTTTAAGATTGAACAAAATCTACGTGTTGCTCTGTGAAAGTGTCTGCCATGAAATCGATTCTGACTTATGACAACTCTTTCCAGAGTTTTCTAGGTGCAGAATACACAGAAGTGGTTTACCATTCCCATCTTCTGGGAGCATCTTGGCTGTGCAGCTTGCCCAATGTTAGATAGACTGTCTCTAGTCACAGGAGGCATAGTGGGAAATTGAATTCCAACTTCTGGCTCCACAACCAGATACCTAAACCACTGAACTATCCAGCCAGCTACAGTGGGGTCTCTACTTAAGAACGTCACTACTTAAGAACAATCCAACTTAAGAACAGCTCCATTTGCTAAATTTTGCTTCTACTTGAGAACAGAAATCCAAGATAAGAACAGGAAAAAAAAACCTTTCCTGCTCTTTTTTTAACCTTAGGTCATCTTAGGTTAAAAAAAATTTCTCCCCCTAGTGGTAGAGTACGTATTAACCAGCTTTGCATTAGTTCCTATGGGAACTAATGCTTCAATGTACGAACGCACCTCTACATAACAAAAAAACAGCCAGAACAGATTAATTGGTTTTCAGTCCATTCCTATGGGAAATTTTGCTTCAACTTAAGAACTTTTCAACTTAAGAACACCATTCCAAAACGGAATAAGTTCTTAAGTAGAGGTTCCACTGTAGTTTCTATGGACGGAAAAGAGCAGATACGGATTAAATGGCTTTCAATGCATTCCTATGGGAAATGCAGATTCAACATAAGAACTTTTCAACTTGAGAACCACCTTCCAATACGGATCAAGTTCTTAAGTAGAGACCCCACTGTATGTGTTACTGTACAGTAGAATAATCCTTCAACTGAAGCAAATTATTACTTCTGTCTGGACACAAACAGAATGAAAAGTGAAACTCTGAAGTAACTGCTTTGCCCCTAAAACGACATACAATTCAATAAGGAAACACCATCAAATTACCAGATATTCCACAAAACTAACCTGTCTCTCAGCCTCTGCTTGAAGAAGAGGGCAATAGCAGAGTCCAAACCAAGAGCAGAAATTCAGTCTGGTAAACCTGAAGGGTTACTGTAACCAAAACCATTGCTATAAAAGAGATACTAAAACTAAAATGTAGATTAGGTTTATGAAAATATATATCCCATCCAGTTTATATTATTGTTGTATATATAGGGTTTCTATAGTTATAAAACTTATAGAGTGAGCAGCATCATTAAGTGAAAGCTAAGCTGCCTGCTGGCCCAGTCAGCTCGCCTCAAAACAGGGGCAGGAGGTCTTGGTGTCACATCTGGAACCTGTTACTACATATCTCACTGATCTCAGTGATTATTCTACCTGTACTTCTTTCTATGTAGTTGCAGAGTGTGTGTTGGTTTAATGTACTTTTGTACATTTAAAAAAATGTCAAATCAAGATTCTGGATTGCTAACATCCGTATTTCTTTCAGACTGAAGATCCATCTAGCTGAACATTCTGTTTCCACAACCAAGGTTTCCTCTAAGCTGTGTGCATGAATGCATGCCACTTCACTTCCCTCCACGCAGCTTTCTTCCTCTTCCACACAGAGATTGTTTTCAACCCCTTTGGTTTTGGTTGTGATGTAACCCTGCGCATGAGGGGGGTGGGCAAAGGCACGCATGAGAGGCAGGGCCCCACCCTGGGGTGCTGAAAATTAGAGTGTATGTTGTCCACAACCATCAGCCACATGGCCTTTTGGAGTTTTATATAGGAGTCATGAAGGCAAAAGGCTCCATTTAATTTGTCCCTGAGTTCTCTGACTCCATGGCTGTAGCTGGAAAGCCAGATTTCAGTTGAGTATCAAGAAAAACTTCCTGACTGTTAGAGCAGTACTACAACGGAACAAATTACCTCAGGAAATGGTTATCATTCTATGATTCTATTGACAGTCCTACTCCTAGGAGATTTAAATCCTAGGAGATTAAATCACTTTAGCTATAGCTACCAAAGCTATGAGAAGCAAAGTGGTGTTGTGAATAGAATGCCTAACTAAGATTCAGGAGACCCCGATGCGAAGGTGTACTTGGCCACAGAAGCTCAAGCTTAGGTGGGAATGTTTATTTATTTATTTGTCTGTTGGTTAGGTTTCTACCCCGCCCCCCCTAGACAGCGTCTACTCGGGACAGCTTACAAATATCATAAAATACAATAAAAACATCATAAACATTAAACAATTAAATCAATAATATGGTGTGTTCAAGATTGGGAATGATAAAAAAACAAGAAGCTGGAATTCAAGAATTGACAGAAGGGAAGGCCTGCCTAAAGAGTCAAGTCTTTAAATGGCTCCTTGATTATCTCTCATATTTTCAGAAACTATTATGGCTGTCATACATCAAAGTTACTTGATTTGATGGCACATGACATATACCATGGGCAGAATAACTGACAGATAGATCTTCTGAGAATTTGCCATCTATTTTCAAAACCTAAGTCAATAGCCATAATATATTTTGGCAGAAAAATTCATATTAATTATGGAAAATGTGAAGAAATAAATTATTTTTGTTTCTTATGAATCTGCTGCCCATTTGCTCCTTTCTGTGATCTATAAGTTCTGTTATTCTAAGAGAGAGAAAATATACTTCTATGAATTCTCTCATCATAATTAATTCTCTCATCATAATTAATTTAAACATAGTTTCCACCTTAGTTCCCCCCCAAACTACGTGATGTTTGAACAGAAACAGTATTAGTCAAAAGCTGTAAAATAGCAATAGGACATAATTAGAACATCAGCTGAGTAATTGCTAGTGTAGCAGGACCCCTGTACCTATGGAGAACTGGTTCCAAGCCTCCCCATGATAAAAACTGCAGATAATAGCGAATACTATACGCAGCATGGTAAAAGAAAAATCCGGAAGTATTTTCACCATGTATTACCAGGACTGATCACTAGAAGGAGCCAGATACCATGCTATATATCTGTGATGGCGAACCTTTTTGATCCTGAGTGCCCAAACTGAAAACAACTCAGCAGGCGGTGGGTGGGTGGCGGGGGCAGCAGAAGTGGCAGTGGAAGGGGGAATCCCGGTATAATAAACTTTGGTGTAAGTTTCTTATACGAAAGTTAAAAGAGCTATTTAATAAGATACTAATGGGAGAAGAAATCCCACGAACATGGAAAGAGTCTCTCATTTATTCAATATTGAAACCAGATAAAAATCCAACAAATATGGAAGCATATAGACCCATATCACTGATAAACCAACATGCTAAGATATTCACGGCAATAATGGCAAAGAGATTAAATAGTTTTATGGGGAAATATATTGAAAAAGATCAAAACAGATTTATACAAGGTAGACAAATATCAGACTTAATGAGATGGGTACTTAACCTAATGCATTTAGCTAAAGAAACTAATTCTAAATTCGGAGTACTTTCATTAGATGTATTTAAAGCATTTGACTCAGTGGAATGGGGTACTTTAAAGATTTAATTAAATATTTAGGGTTTGGACCTAATTTTAGGCAGATAATCCACCAACTATATTCACAGAATACAGCCAGAGTTATAGTTAATGATGGTATAACTGAGACAATATACCTAGGCAGAGGTAGAAGACAAGGTTGCCCCTTATCTCCAGTATTATTTACAATGATAATTGTATTATTGGCACAGATAATTAGAGATGATAAACAGATTAGAGTGATAGACAACAAAGAAAATGGTAAGTGCCCATGCAATAAACTGTACATAGGAAAAACCTCTAGACCTCTTAAAGTACGAATGGGTGAATCCCTCAGTAATTTAAGAAATAAACAACTAGGCAGTCCTCTAGTTGGCCATTTTACAAAATGAACCATACAATAAAAGATCTGGTGTTCTGGGCCAGGGACAGAGTTCCTGGAAACTGTGAAAGGTCTTTACTAAAAAGGGAAATTGACTGTATCATGAAATTGAACACCCTAGTATCTCATGGGTTAAATGAAGAAATAGACTTTCTCCCTTTATTATGATAACTGCTGGGCTGGTTATCTCACCACCCTGCACAGCTGTGTACAAATGCCTCCTCTCCTAGTGCCTGCATGTTCGAACACTTTCAATCAGTTTTGGAGCTGATATAGATCAAAGAAAGGTGCAGAGAGTATAAAGAAGCTCAGTAAGTGTTTGATATTCTGTCTAATATATTTTATCATGCCTAATGTGCTTAGTATAAATGCATGTATTTATATAAAGTTGAGAGTCCCAAGCCAGGTGTATATATATAATTAAAAAATAAAAATAAAATGTGAATGATTCAATATGTAATGTGTGGCTTTCTGTTATGCTCGGCTCCTGAAGAAGGCTTCACTGAAACGAATTGAACCAGAGCTTTCTAACAACTGATTTAAATAAATACAGAATAAAGAGCTTGTTTCTACTTTCCACATTCTGAGACTTTGTCTCTCCACAGAAGTATTGTTTCCAACAAGATCTTCAAGAGACTCCACTGTCTGCTTTTTAACTGAGTGGTAACTGCACATTTGTTACTTGTATTTGATTAACCAGTAAGGGACGGTTATCTGATTAATCTTAATAGACTTCTACTGAGGCCTACTTTCTTGAAGGAAAGCTTTCTACAGAGTATGAAGGAAAGAGTTTTCATGCTCTGTAGGAAAGCTTTCATGAAGGAAAACATTTTACAGAGCACACAGATATGGGGCCCATTGGACCACCACTAGAAAAATTTCTTGATACACTGTGACCTGGAAGGTAACCTATGTAACATTGTTACAACAAAAAATTAAAATGAGGGGCTGTAAGAAGAATTGGGAAATTACCAAGATATGGATGCAGAAGCACAGACTCACTTATAAAGTGCTGTTATGTGATGCAATGTAGTGCAGTGCAATACAATGGAAGTAGAAGTGAAAAGACTTAAGGGGTATGTAGAAAGTTTGAGCAATTTGTTGAATAATTTGTTCAATGAGCTAATAAAAAAATTACAAACCTATAGAGGAAAGAGAAGAGACTGATGAAAACATCTGGAATGCAACTGTGCATTTTTTGGTCTAAGAATAACTTTAATGTTATGATCACAGTGTGTTACACAGTGAGTGTTTCATTTTCCAATTAACATTTTAAAATATTGTGGGAGAGATCTCTGACTAAGAGGAGAATCAAAGAGTTCCCATTTATCTGTTTATAGAAAGTTTCCTATATCTATTTCTATATCCTCCCCAACCCACAAAATAACTAAGATGCTTGACAATGGAAGTCCCTAATTATATGATGGTCACTATTTTTGATGGTCATATGCTGGTCACTATTTTTGGTAGGCCATTGATTTTTTCATCTTAGGCTGTGAACTGAGCATTAAAATGTGATATGCCATGCATGTTCTGATTTAGTCTGTCAGCCGATGCAGTGGCTGAAATTATCAGGAAACAGGGCTACTGCCCAAAAATTAGTGCATTACCTACTTCCCTCCCAGTTCCAAAGATGATGCAAATCAATCCTGAGGGCTCATTCCAAAATTATAGCTAGTATGTATTTGGTAATCATGTCAGATATGTGTACGTTGCCATTAAAATTGTGGCCATACTTGACCATCCAGTTGCTTGGAGCATTAAGCCATACATTTTTTTCTCAGGTGTTCCCAAGCTGGATGCCAGAATGGCAAGTGATGGTACTAGTGCTAAGTAGGAATGACCTACTAAAGCAGTTCTAGGATCATTCTTCTAGAACAGGAGTGTGCAAAAATGTAGCCCTGGAGATGTTACTGGATTACAACTTCCAGCCTCTCTCACCACTGGCTATGATGACTAGCTTTGACGGGACTTGTAGTTCAACAATATCTGCATGGCTGCATTATTTCCATGTCTCTGCTCTAGAAGGAAGAAAAAAAATCATAAAGGGCCAGGAGGATGGGTTCTGAGAATCTTAATTATAAACATATATTTTTATATGAGATAAAAGCAGTTAAAGAGACTTCCCAATACAAGATACTCAAGTCAATTGTCTTTTAAGATGTTTTGATGTTCAAGTGTAAGAATGTGTAAGTGCAAACTTCCACATATTTACTCAGAAGTTAAGTGACACTGAGGTCTGTGTATTAGGCAATGGCAGTTACAGGATTTCATTTTAAATTAGACTGTGATTAGATCACTTCGTAATATGGCTGTCAGGGAGCTGAGGCTGTCTCCAAAATTTGCCTTCTGCAGATGGAAGGGTTCTACTCATGGAAGATACCTTTTATTCACTTACAGGATTTCCCTCAGTATGCTACATTCAGCAGGGTGTAGCATTTTCAGGAGGCCAGAGGGCCTGCTTTATGGAAGAATGAACAGGGGAACTGTACGTCCACCAGACCAGTTGCACTAAATGCTAAGCAATTAATTTAAATAAATGTTTGGTTTCTCTTCCTTGTTCTGTCCTGTACTGGAAATCTCCACACAGAGCCCAAATATGAGTCTCATATATCCTTTAATTTACAATGCTGCTTGCAAATTGTAAGAATTACATTTAGCTGCAACAGCTACTATAAGGTTTAGCATACTTAGTTTCTTTTTAAAGTACATTGAATACCCATAACAGACAAGAGAAATAATTTTCACCCTACTGTTTTACGAGTCAAGAGAGATACTTTTAGACCAACAAAACAGAAAAATATTGTCTATAAATAATCACACATATTTGAACTTTGTTGTTGCAATGAATTAGATGACTGTGTACATAAACAAATCTGCTTGTTATCTGTGGTGTTTTTATTTTTGCCATATAATTATTTCATGTACATTTTGTTTCCACAGATGTATGAAATATATTTTCAGAAGAATTGCCGCAACATGTTGTTAATATGCTAAGAAGCTGGTGTATTTCTATACTAGGTAATATAATGATAGATATGAAACAGATTTGTATTCACACATAGCCTCCAAATATTGGAGATGTTACTGTACAAACAAGTTGATATTCTTAAACTGAAATATCTCTTAACTTATATGACTATTTCTTCAAACTTGAAGAGACAGGATTCAAAAAAACTATTTTAGTAGTTTATGCTAGCATTATATAAGGAGTTTGTGGTAACTCAGATGACAAGTTTTCTTAGAAAAGCTAACCAATTGTTGCCTTATCGCAACAGCATTTGATCTCATTTCAGTTTCAAAAAAGGTTTGCTAGGAAACATGGGAGAATGCAGTTAAAGAAACACACATCAAAAAAATCCTGAGCTTCATAGTCCTTTGGTCTCTAGCCATACCTCGGAAAGTGTGAAAACACCTATTTTAGAATTAACAAATACACGGCTATGGATTTCAGTAGATTTCCCAATAAATCAGATTACAATGATACTAAATACTGTATATCATTTGCATTGTTTCTGGGTTTACACCAATCAATTGTTGGATTTTGGACATTTAAATCCTTTCCACTGGTGTAACCATGCAACAGAATTTTGGTCACAGTATGGCATGATGTTTTTTCTCTAAAGAAAGTAGTTTAAATTGAGAAAGGTAAAGAAAGGTATTTAAATTGCTAAAATAAAAAGATATGAAATAAATGAAATCAATATCAACTTTTCAAGACTGATAATATTTTGAGATCAAGTTTTTTAAAACATAAAAGCAAGTAAAGCAACTAAATACCTGTATCAAATGCCCATAAAAACATCTAGTGTTAAATATCAATACAACTTTTAGAAAGGGAAGAATAAAATTAGTACGAAATAATTTATTCTTTTCAATCTATATAAGAAAAAATAAAATAGGAGTTTCATGATAACGTTACAAAGATATGCAAATATGTTAATAATATTTTTTTGCAGCTGTGACCTTGGGTACCAGCCATTCAATGGCAGGGTGGTCCCAAATGTCTAAATTGAGGCTGACCTGATAGATATGGGTCTTGAATTTCCATTTCACAAGCCCTGTATCCTATCTCATTTATGATCAACCTCATGTAACTAAGAGACAGTTGTAGCTTAAGAACTTTACTTTAGTCAGATAACTGGGGCTCTGACAACTGCATTATAAAATGAACTTGCAACACAGCTGCTAATAGGCCTTAATGATTCTTGATCCTGTTTCAATGATCTTACAGATCAGGCTACTGATCTTACAGATCAAACAACTTTCTTCTGCTGCCTCTGTATAGACTGCAGCTGCTGCCTACTTCTTATGCCAATACGAACATAACTGCAGAACAGGCAATTGTACAATAAATATTTAAGTGAAACAACGTAATTCTGGCACACTGCAAACAGTTCAGCATGTAACATTGGTGGTTGTACATAAGAAGAAAGCACGATCTATTTAAATATTGCAATGTAAATTGAAATGCCCATTCTTTCTTATTATTGGTGGGGATGGTAGAAGATGATTTTACAGTTTAGCTTCTCACTAATAAAGATATAATCTGCTATTTTAGTAGTGAGGAAATACCAGCATCCTCTACATGAATGTTCATATATATCCTGTGAAGGACATTATTCATAGTATAAATAGCCATGATGTTGATGGTTCAAATGTTCTAAAAGCACCCTACACTAAATTTTAACTCTGTAAACTGCAAGTAAATAATGATAAGACACGCCAGCCTGTCTGATAATCTTTGACAACAGTTCTAACAGTGTCATTGTGGCCACTGGAGAAACCTGCATGTACTAAACTCTGACCCACTGAGCCTTTTATCTGCATGTGTACTCTCCACAGGCCAAGCAAATAAAGGCCAACTGATAATTTACACATGAATGAACTTTCTCTACAGAGTAGGCACCAGAGACATTTCTTTTCTCTGTTACTAGAGAAAAGCAACCAGGTTTGAGCTTGTCTCACCAGAAATCATACAAGTGAAACAGTGATATGTTCGAAAATGGCAGATCAGCAAAGGAAAGCTGTTCTGAATGCTTGATAAAAATGGCAGCCACAAAGGACTGGAAGAATATTTAGTGTGAAACAGGACTGTGGGTAACAATCAGTCTTCATCCTATTCCAAACAGGTAGTGCCTTACAAACTGAAATGGAGATACAACGCTGACAGAAGATTACATAACATACAGTACAACAGTGTGAATTGCTGTGTTTCTCCAACCTGTACTGAACATAACCTTTCACAGAAAATGTTTGTAAAGCATTTATCATCTTGGGATTTTGTTGTCTGGGAATGCCCCTGTGGATTTCCCCACCCCCAAACTGAGCGCCCTCTGATTGCAGAGGAAAACTCAGAAAAAGGCTGTTTGCTTTAAATACATAAAATGCTCCAAAGAAGACACTTTATCACAGCATGTCCGTCTGTGACCCTACCACACAATGTTGACTGACTAAGAACTGGCAACAATAAGATAAGAAGAAATTAGAATACTTACACAACAAAATTGTACAATGAAGTCTTCTACCTTCTGCTTCACCTCTAGACATAGATATATACATTCTGGAATTCCAGTAGAAGGGCTTCATATTAAGAATGTGTGGTTAGTGAATATCTTTAAGACAAAATAGGTTGAGATAGAATCTATCCCAAGTTGACTGGTCCGACAGATGGACCAGTCAACTTCTGGTTTGCTGAACATGGAGTCTATTGTAAGTCTGTTTCTTCTAATTTCTGCATCAGTCTGGAATTTTAAAGACATCCACAAATGTAACTATACACGTCTAAAATTTCTTGCTGTTGTATGTTTTTGCATGCACCTTTTCCTAATGGATGCACTTCTATACACAGCTTGCCAACAACTCTATTTTATAGCCAATTTTTGAGCCAAGAGTTGTGTATAAGAATGCATTATCTGAAAATAAATGCATGTTAATTTGAAGTACGAACAAGGCTGGTCAGCCAAAAAGACAGAGCAAACAAAATTCTCTATTTTAGTTTCTCATTAAGATTTTAGCTTCAGACCTCTCTCTTTCTATGCCAAGATCATCATAGCTACCAGCTTATATGGCAGATTCTGATAGCTATAATAGGACATATATAGGACTTTTGTTGAATGACATCTTGAGCAGGTGGAATATAAATCTGGTACCCTCATCTATATGGGAGAAACACCCCACCCCCTGCTTTTTGCCACCTTGATGAAATGTGACAGGACCTTCTTCCCATGTCCTTCCAATCAGTGACACTTCTCCTTGCTTCAATCTACCCTGCAGGCAGCTCAGCACTTCAGACAGTGCTGCAGTGGGGGCGAAAGAGGAAGACTCAAACCTAGTTTCAGCTAACTGGTGAGTTGTCTTCTCTGTTAGTTATGAGAACAACATTTGTATAGCCCATGCTGGAATGATTTGGTCACACAACAATATGAAGATGACTGGGCTTCTACAAGTGGTAGTCCCAGGCTTACCTGGGTCTGGGGTTGGTGGCTAGCAAAGGTAGTGGAGGCTTAGGCAGCTGGTAGCTGCTGTCTTCTGTGATTACAGGAGCCTCATGGTGCAGTGGTAATATTGTAGTACTGCAGCCAAAACTCTCCTCACAGCATTCAATACCAAAATAGCTCGAGATTAAATCAGCTATCCATCCTTCCAAAGTCAGTTAAAATGAGTACCCACTTCCCGCGGGGGGAGGGGATGTGTAGCCTGTACAATTACAAAAATTTAAACCACCCAAAAAATTATTTAAAAACTATGGGGCAGTATATAAGCAACACACTTTGTTGTGTTTTTTTTTTTAATTTTTGCTTTGCTTCTGTTGCCAGAGTGCTCTTCCCAGTGGTCTCTGTGGCAGAACATGGGCTTGTTTTCTGCACTCATCTGCCCCTAAACAATTGTAAAGGTTGTGGCAGGAACACTCAGAGGGACAAGGTTTTTCCTCCAATCTGCTTGGGAAGGATACATGAACATGAACAAGAAATACCTGTATATCTTGGACAGCCAGTTTGGCCAGAGCCTCATTCACCCACCCTTCCATTGTTTAATGTATAAGTTTGGGATCTCAGCTATAGCTAAGAGTTTCTTTTTTCCTTGTTACAGCTTTGCTAGGCATGCCAAAAACCAGAGGTGCATGCCCATCTCCAGAGTGTACCACACACTTTGTCCCAAATGATGGGGGGGGGGCACACAGTGTAGTATGCCCACATTGTTAATCCCAGGTGGGACCTGTTCGTCATGCAAGTGCCAGGGCTATGGCAGCTATAACCATTTTGTGATCAATTTTATTCTGCTCTTATTTTGTTATGCATGGTATTTTGGGTGCCCAGGCCTCTGACACCATAAATGGCGGCAAACATATGACAGAATATTTTTGACCAGTTACTGCTTTAAAAAACACAGATTAGGTAACTAAAATACTCCTGCTTCAATTGCAAATTATCGGAAGCTGTATCTATTACATTATTGATAAAGCTGTTAATAGGAACTTGCTCATGCAAAGACTTCAGTCACTTGGTAAATTTACATAATTGTATTAACAATTCAATATTTAAAGTTGCATTTTTTCTCAACGCTGTATCTTAAAGGATGTTCAGTAGCATGGCCTTACATGCTTTATGTGATAATTATGAAGGATAAATTAACAGGACAAATTGAGTGTTACTCATGTATTCCATATGTGTAAAGGATTTTGCTTTTGAAAGACTTCTTATCCTCTTAACACAAACAAAGCTTATCTTTGTAACTGTCTGATATCCTCATGGACAGCTAATTATTCAAACTACATAGAAAGCCCATTGCTCCCATAGCATATTCGAAACATGGCATCCTGTTCTGCTTTTTGAGAAGATGCACAGCCATATATACAAGTAGTTCAGTCTCAAACATACAAAATTTTTAATTTAGAAAAAGACTGTAGAGTGATAGAAAAAGAAGACTGCTTGAAGACATTGCAGTCACTATTCCTATGATACTGTATCTATTTCCAAATCATACCAACACTATATTGTTCACATAAAAACATTAAGTCTTCAATAAAATATTCAACTAGGAAACAGAAACACAAACTAACATGACCAATCATTTGTGGGTACCACTCTAGAAATCAAACATTGTTGAGGATCCCTTACTTGTTACTTAGGACATGTTACTTAGGGCACATTTACACAAGCCCTTTTGGTATGTGCTGATGCAGTCTAAATAGTGTTGCCTGAGGTTGTGGAAAGAGCAATGTACCTTGCATATGATCCTTGAGTCCAAATGGCATATCAGCCTCAAGTGACCCTCCAGCTCTTTCTGCTGCTAAATGAACATTTCCTCTGCTCCTTTACAGAAGGGCAGGGGAAGTGAGATTATTTTTTTTGCCTAAGCTAGACCATCACTGGTGCACTAAGTCACATAGGTTATACATTTTTCTTTGCCTTGTGTGTAGTGCCAATCAAGAAACTACATGTAGCCACGTTTTTGATTGAATTTCACACAAAAGCAAAGAAAAAAATAAATTTAATCTTAGTGATTCATCTTATCAGCAATAGTCTAGCTGACACATACAAAACTTAATAATAATATTCCTTCCCCTGTCCCTCAGCATTAATTTTTATTGTTTGTAACCCATCCTTCTCCACAAGAGGCCCCAAGGTAGCTGACAATATTAAAATAGTCAATAAAAGCTAAAAAAATACAAAAAAGATATTGCAGTATTAAAAAACAAATCAATATGCTGTTAAAATTACTACATAAAAACATTTAAAACAATTTTTAAAGTACATTACCAAATAAGACAATCTACCTGCCCCATTTTTAAGTCCTCTCACAGGCTGAAAAGAAGCTTGCTTGAAGAAAAAGGCAGAATGATAGCAAAGGTCACCATGGCGTCCTGGTGGTGGGCAGGTTTCACAGCTTGAGAACAGGAACAGAGAAGACCCTTTCTTGTATCCTCACCATATTTTAGAGTGGTGGGACTGAAAGAAAGGCTCCCTTGATTATCTTAAAACCTGGGCAGGTTCATATAGGAAGATAGTATAAATAAGTGAAACCATGGCTATTGAAATAATAATTCAAAAAGCATCTCTCATATATTAACTAGAATTGGATTATTAATTTGAAACAAAACACATATTCTCTCATCCCTTCTATGCAATCCTTATATTAAATGTAATAAGCATTTCAGCACCTGACATTTACCAGTAATGTACAGATTTTTAAAATTTACTCTAAAAGCAAGTTTTTTCCTGTGTATATTAACAGGTTAAAAAGAACATTTCAATTTAAAACCAAAGATGACTTTTCTTGAAACCTGTCTACATATTTTTATCTCTTTATCCTTTGAACACATACCATTGCTTTATCTGCTCAAATACTATTGATTTATCTGTTCTTTTCTTGTTTTGCACAAAGACTGCTTCTAAGAACCATTATGTTACGTAGGGAGTTCACATATGCCTCTTATGCTTCTGCTGAGTCAACCAGATATCATATCTAACTTATTTTGAATAATACCTACTCACAATTTTCAGTTGTATTTCTAGCTTAATCTGCTTTGCAAGTTATTTGGAATTATAATTTATCATCTGAACTCGTGATTCTGTATTTGTCTTCATGTGTATTTTAGAATAATATACCATGAATCAATTTTAGTATTGTTGTTGCTTTTTCAGTCTTTAGTGAGTGAAATTTATAAATCACAGCTTGAGCCAGGAAAGTAAACACGAGAAAAAGTCAGAATAAAAACTGATAATACTAAAAAAGAAAAAGAAAAGAAAAGAAAAAGTACACATAGAACGGTATGACCAGTTGGAAGATCCAGCATTTGTAATTGCAGAATACTAAAACAGATTGTTTAGACATGACTTTTTCTAAGTGGAATTGCTGTATTTTATATACAAATCCATCAAAATCCTCTTGTGTAACTATGAAAATTATTTAATTCTTGGAGGCAAACTGCTCCAAGACATTAACATAGACATGAAAAGTTACACCCTAAGTCACATAACTCAGTTTCATATAACTCAGTATGCAACAGATAATGCCTACATTGATTTAAGATAATTTGCCTCCAAAGTTAATCCATTTGTGTTACACCAGCATAACCTGATAAGAGGATTTCAGCCATTAGATAGAGAATTTTGCACATACAGAACACATTTGTAAGTAGAAATAAAGAGAAAAACAGAATGCATGTTATAGAATGTGACTTCAAATATTCAAGTTCTTTTCCTAAGTAGAATCAACAAATGTAAACAATACATTCACGTAGTCATCCTGGGATCATCCATAGAGGCTCTGCTCTAAGCACTGCTACACTCTGAAAATCAGCAACTAGCCACTTGTAAATGGCTCTTTCATGGCCTCCTATACTGTGAAGTGCATTCCCTATCGATATCTGGCTGGAGCAGAACTTGTTGACATTCTGGTGCCAGGCAAAGACTCTTTAACAAAATTGATTCTTATAGGTCTGTTAAATCCTCCTCCACCTCTTCCTTTTATTTTCAATTTGATTCTTGTTTACTTCTCATTGGAGAAGTCAACTCCTCTATAAGTTACAGTACATTGATTCAAAAAAGCCTACTCTAACTGCCACTTACTATGCTAAAATATGTCATAGAGAAGGCTCATTTGAATCAATGAAACTTATGGAGGAGTTGATCCATGTTGATTCAGTTGGCCTACTCTAGTGCAATCTACTATGCTAAGCAACAGTACTGTGGCCACTATATCATTTTAAAACTGTCTTTTACAGCTATCCTTCTCCATGCTGCTTTGATCTTCGTCTTTTGAAATTTTAATACATTGTTTTTACTGCTGTTTTTAATTTTTAAATGATCTTTGTTGATTTTATTATATTGCTGTTTACAGGCTGACTCAGAAATGAAATTAAGAAATAAGAACAACGGATGACATATTTTTGGGAAATTTCCTTACTCTGATACTTATCATACTTGTTTATTACTCTGCCTTAGCAGCTATGCTTAGTCTGAGTATAGTAAAGATAATATTCATTGAAGTTCACACCCATCTTCTTCTTGAACTGGTCCTTATGAAATGGTTTGGTTGTCACCATTCACTCAGAAACCAGAAGATAATTTCTACATCATGCAGAGCCTCCCTTTCAGTCTGGTGAACTACAATCATGAATTATTTCCTCAAATATGTTTTCAGCATGACAACACTACTTTATTTTATAAGATGTACTGAAGCTGAAAAACACAGCAGGGTCAACTGCAGTTAGCAGCTGTCCTAGGGAAACAGGAAGAAAGAGAAAGAAGTTCCGCATGCACCAACAGTAACACCAAGTGCCAGGAAACAGTTATCGAAGATGAAATACAAGTTTCCATGGAAGAGACAGAATGGTCCTCATGGAGAAAAACTTTCAAAGCTCTCTAGTAGGAAATATTTCTATCTTTAATGAGGATTAAAAGGCATAGCAAGGAATGAGTCCTTGGCCATATGTTTTAAAAATATGACTTGGAAATTAATAAACACACAGCTATGGGATTTGTGTAATTCTACCATGTAAGACTACTGGTTTTTAGTTAGCCTTTGTCATTACTCTTCCACTTATCCAAATAGTTTAAAACATTTTAATTCAATCTCATAAATCCACACACCACACTATTTTCAACAACAAATTATGCAAGCTGAAAACAGGAAAATATTTCACATCACAGAAAACCATATACAATTATGCTTAATAACTTCAATAGATACAATTACATTTAGTTTAAAGAGCAACATTATTTACATTTAATTTGATTTAAATATTGGAGGAAAATAAATAATTGTCAAGAAAAAATTATGTTTCCCCTATGCACTGACGCAACGAGGACAATGTGCCAAAGTGACAAAACTTTCAAAATATGTGATCTGGAATGAAATGTTGTACGTAGCATATATCCTTTTACCTATAGAGAACAACAAATGAGAGGTTTTTTTTTAAAAAAACTATATTACTGTAAAGCATAATCGCTCATACCACACAAAGCTGTTTTGGGATACAGAATATATAAAATCATTTCCTGAAGATATTTTGTGTGCAACATAAAATATTTAAAATGTTTCACTTCCAAGAGGGAGTTCATGACAGATGTGTTATTTCCCCCCTCCATTTTAAGTGACATTATTGTGTCTAATTAGCCCTGTTGATTTACCCATGACAGTATGAACTTAAGGGGGTGGGGGTAGATTATTGTATCTGAAGCAGAGAACAATTTATGATAACAAGAAGAAAAAGCTCTGATTTTAGGTGTTTTACAACAAAGTCCTCAAGTAGCCCAGAGAGCTTTCACTTATTTATGCACCACCATATGATACAGCCTTTTGCCTGTAGCATTACAAATCATAGACAGGCTTGATACAAAATGTTCTCCAGGTGTTAACAGACCAACTGTGCCATTATTTCTTATTTATGTACTGTCTAGTAATAGAAGACAAATTGCTATAGGTGACACAAATGTGATTAAACAGGTCTTCAGATGTCAAAAAGGGGAACATGGTTGTGGGTTACCTTGTATGACCTTTTCTGTAGGCTTGGAACTATCTTTTTGAGAAAAATATGAAATAAAAATGTTGAACAACCCATTGCAATCTCACAGCTGGAACTTTAGTTCTAGTTTGTATTGAGAATTCGCCCCCTCTGGCAATGGGAATAGAAAAATAATTGTCAGAAGTACTCTTTTAAGTGACTTTGTCTGTTTTTCCCAGCATAATGACAAGGCTAAGTGGATACTAATATGGAAAGGTATAACTACCGGGAATTTATAAAGTAATATTTAGATTAAGAAAGCATAAAAAGAAATGAAGATGATATGTTAGTACGGCATTGAAAAACAATGAGTTCATCTGCATTAAATATAAGCAAAATTAAGAAGAGTAAAGTTTTTCTTAAAAGTTTCAATTAAAACATATACACTATTTCTTTCACCTGATTGTAGCCCCATATGGCAAGGTCAGCCCTTTCAGTGAACAAACAGCTCAGTCGCCTCCAGTGTAGCTGTTATCTTCCTCAACAAGGGGAGACATTTGGCACAGCCTAAAGCTGGGGCATGAACCCTGGCTAAGCTTAAGACATTTATCTGACAGCATCAGCTGACACTCCACAAACACATTTGCTCTCCATGACCCCAGAGCATTTGTGATTAATCAAAAATGTATCTTGAATCTTGAGAACAAGCTACAAGCAGGCACACACAAAAAAGAATATGCTCTCGATCTCGCTTATCGACTCAAGAGGTATATTGAATTTAGAAATAGCAAATAGAATAAAATGATCAATATGTTCTCACTTGTCCATGGAAGAGCAAACTTTATCCCTCAAGCAAAAAACATTGATCATGTAAATGTTTGAGCTTTTTATTTATTTATTTTTTAGTATTAAAAAGTAAAAGTATATTTGCAGGCAAGGAAGGGAGCATTAGAGCAGCATATTTACCAGAGCTGTACTGAGAAATATGGAAACAATATCACATTCAGAATATATGAATGTTCTCCTGAGCTACAGCTCAAGTTTTTATACAACTATGCAGTGCTGTAACATGGGTGTTTTGTAGCCTGTTGCCAACAGATCTTAATAAAACATTATAAGGGGGATTTTAAAACTTAATGAAGTCACATAATCTGTTTCAGAGAAAGCTCCCTGTCTTAATTTAAATGAGACACAGTTATAACATATCCCCTATGCACTGTTTACTATTTATAATTCATGTCTCTATTTGAAATACACTACATTCTCCAGTCATCTGCTAAGTGATATGATTAGCATTAAATTATTATACTATTTTAGTTTGTAAAAACAAGGTTTTCAGCTTTTCATATTTTCACTTTTTCAAGAAAAGTAGTTTAGTTAGGTTTAATTAATAATGAGAAAAACATATAATAGCAGTACCCATGTTTATTATATAAAAGATATAACTCTACAAATACTCTCCACAATAGCATTTTTATTCTTGGGTTACAATTCTCGTTTATTCCCCTACAGCCCTCTCATTTTAGTAGAGAACTAATGTATGTCCTCTGGTTTCTGTTGACATGACAAACTTTCATAGCATGTGTTCTCCATAAAATGGTGGGACTAATTAGAAGATATAAACTCATGCAGAGACATAATATGAATTGGCTTTATTCATCGACTAAACTCACAGCAGTATTAGATTTTTAGTGCCAACATCTCCAACTAATATGTAGCTATTCCCCTAATGCCCCACTACATTTCAAAACCATCCAGAAATAAGGTAAAATTAATTTAATTTCTCAATGTTATCCAATCAAATTTCACTAAGGTATACTTAAGTAATTTGCATATTTAACTCCTTTTTCCACTCAAAGAGACTCATTTTTACACATTTTCTGCAAACATTTTAGCACTGGAATGCTGCAGTGGAAAAAACCCTACACAACTGAAGATACTTGATTTTTCTGCAGAAGAATGAGCAGGTGTCAAATAGCATGGGGAGAAATTAGTCAATCTGCCCATTTGGATCCAGAAAACTGGAAGCCACTGCAGTCACACAGCCTGTTGCTACACTTCTATACCACCCTGTCTAACCGTTCTGCCAGTTCTGGCCACCTGCTAGATGAGAGGAAGGAAGGCAGATTTACATTTGGTCCCCACACCCTCTTCTGTGACTTTTGGACAACCAGTATTACAACACTGCTGATTATCCAGGAAAGAGAAAGATGTTCAGTGCATAGTGATTCACTGCCACTGGGTCAAAGTAAGCATATGGCACTAAGTTCTACTTTTTCCAGAGATATAAAAGAAAAGTGTGCTGTTTATATACCGCCCCATAGCACTTCAAGCACTCTCTGGGCAGTTTACAAGTTAATTATGCAGGCTACACATTCCCCCCCCTCCCGTGAGCTGGGTACTCATTTTACCGACCTCGGAAGGACAGAAGGCTGAGTCAACCTTGAGCCGGATACCTGGGATTGAACCCTGGGTCGAAGCTGCAGTACAGCGGTTTAACCACTGTGCTATTCTACTGCAGGGAAAATGATGACTCCTGAGACACATCAAAGACTTTTTTTTAAAAATCAACATTTTGCAGGTTAGAGTCTAGCCCTGAATGCATGAACTATTATCCCCAGTTAGTTTTTATGGACGAGTGTACAAGCATAGTTTATTGTGGCCAGAAGACCAGATCAAATATGACAAATCATACACATTAAAATATAATTGCTTCCAGATACTTTGTATCCACATTTTCCACAATTCCTGGTTATTAGCCATCCTAGCTGGGACTGCTATATATTGTAACTTGAAACCTCTACAATGCACCAGGTTGGGGGAAGGTTCTACTATGATCTAAGCTCCACAGAACACAGAGAGACTTACTACTAAGTATTTACAGGATCACTCTATAATGTTTAAATGTGACTAAATTAAAGCCTGGTTATGATCTACAAAGTTCTAATGGGTTTGGGTTCCAACTATTTGAAAGACTGTGACACCCCATATGAGCCTCCCTGGCTTTTAAGGTCTTTTTGGGAGGCCTTTCTCTTCGTCCCATCACCCTCACAAACTCTTTAGGTGATGATACGAAAGGGTCTTTTCTGTGGTTACTCCCAGGCTATGAAAGGTACTTCCCTGGAAAGCCAGGCTGGGTCCCTCTTGCTTGTCTACTAGCAGGCAAAGACCTGGCAAAGTAAGGACCATTATGGGATGCTGTACATTCTGAACTGAGGCTGTGTTTTTAAGTAGTTTTAAATCACGCTTTTTAAAAAAAAAGTTATTTGTGCAATTGTTTCAGATCAATTCATCAAACAGTGTTGACGACACCACAAATAACCTGGCATGACAAGTGACTTCAGGTTACAGTGATTTCTAGAAAAGTATTTATTTACTTATTTATTTTTACAGATGAAGGCTTCTAGTGTCACATAAAACTGCAAAACAATTTGGCACACGAACACTTCCAATTGCTACAGTCTTTGTGCTAATTCTGTATCCTAGCAGTCACTGGTCGGCAGAATGGGAGTGCATTTAATCTATGTAATGGTTATTTTAAAACATTTTGGATCTGAAGTGGGGAAACAGCCTTGAGGAAGCATTTTGCAGCAGTTTCCATATGAGGACTATGATGCTTATATCCATGTTTCACATGCTTCATAGCAGAGCCTACTTGCTTTACAGAACTGGGAAAAAAGTGAGCTATCTGAAGTCATACAACTTTAAAGACATTGTCTTAGAAGTAAACAATCTGCATTGATTTTACTGGAACATTGCTCCTAGTTGACAAGCTTAATGGATCTCTTCTTGATACAAAAAAAAAGTTGAAATTTTGTTGGCAACTGTAGTGAACAGCCCTGCCATCACCTGCCTGTCACTGCGCAACCTTGACGCAGGAGCCAATAAGTGAACGTAAGGCAGGAGGGAGCTAGATATAAAGACTGGTGGATGGAGTCTGAGAGAAGAGAGAGAGACTGTGTGTGGCTTAAAAAGTGAGAGAAGAGTGAGTTAGAGGACTGTAAGAGGGTAGATTAAAGTAGAAGGTTAAGAGAGTTTTGAAATAATATCCAAACTGATTCAATTGAAAGCAACCTGTGATTTACCCCACAAAGATTTATTGATTATCAACTTCCCTAGTTAAATAAACTCCTTCATGGATTGCTGCCTTGTCGTGGCAAAGGGGCTTGAGTAACTCAGAAAAGCTACGGG